TAAACAGTGCTTAAAGGGAAATTTATGGTATTAAAGGCATAGATCAGAAAGAAAGAAAGGTCTCAAATTAATGCTCTAAGCTTCCACCATAAGAAACTACAAATGATGAGTAAATGAACTCAAAGAAAGGAAAGAAATAACAAAGAGATAACGATCAATTACATTGAGGACAGAATAACAAAAGAGAAAATCAATAAAACCAAAAGCTGTTTCTTCAAAAATATTAAAACATACATAAAACTGTGGCAGGTTGATTAAAAAGGACAGAAGTCACAAATTACAAACATCAGGAATGAAACAGGAGATATCACTTTAAAACCCACAGACATTGAAAGAATAATGAGGGAATACTACCAAAAAAAATTCTATTCATATAATAAATTTGACAGCCTAGATGAAATGGACCAATTCTTTGAAAGACATTAACTATTAAAACTCACTCAAAATAAAAATAGATAACTTTATATTTATTAAATAAATTCATAGCTAAAATATTTCCAACGAAACTCTAGAATCAGAGGGTTTCACATGTGAAGTCTACTAAATATTTAAGAAAAAATTAATACTCCTTCCACACAGTCTTTTCCAGAAAAAAGAACGTTTTACAACTCATTTTATGAAGACAGCACTACCCTGACCCCTAAACCAGACAGTGTCAATACAAGAAAAGAAATCTACAGATCAATATCCCTGATGAATATAGATGTAAAAATTATTCAACAAAATTTTAACAAATCAAATTTTATAAATATATAAAACTAATAACACACCATAACTTGTGGGACTCTCTCTCTTCCATAGAGAAGGCCTGCACCGGGTGACTAGCCAATGAAGGAAGGGGTCTGGTCTTGGCCTCCTTGCTTTAAGACACACAATTCTACACAAGCATCCTGTTGCAGGACTCTCTGTAAGATTAGTTGAAATGTCTATTGTGACTGAATCAGAGTTTAACTTTTTCCTTAACCCAATTATTCTTCCCTCACCATTCAGGTATGTCTCCCAAAACACCCACAGAAAAAACTTCCACATACAAATCTTAGAGTCTCAGAGACTGTTTCATGAGGAACCCAATTTGTGACATAGTAAAATTAAGTTTACCTCAAGTAAGGGGAAAGATGAGAATGGGATTTGGGACAAGAATAAGAAAAAGTTAAGCTAATTTTGGTGTTTGTTATTTTCATAACTGCTATAAATTTATGCACGTCCTCAGCACTCTAATATATGTTACAGTAATTCAAGCCATGTAGGTAATAATCTGGCCTGGGGGCAAGGCGGGAAACTTTAAATACTGAAACACCAGGTGAAACAGTCTATTGTACTCAGCTATTTATATATATTTAAAGTTTAGGCCAGACTTAGTGGTTCACACCTATAATCCCAACAATTTCAGAGGTCATGGCAGGAGGATCACTGGAACCTAGGAGTTCAAGACCAGCCTGGCCAACATAGTGAGACTCCCACCTTTACAAAAAATAAATAAGCCAGGCATGCTGGGGCACGCCTGTAGTCCCAGTCACAAGTGGTTGAGGCTGTGGTGAGTTGTGATCATACCACTGCACTCCAGCCTAGGCAACAGAGCAAGAACCTGTCTCAAAATATAAATTAATAAATGTGTGTGTGTGTGTGTGTGTGTTTGTGCGTGTGTGTGTTTTAGAAAATACTTCAGTTCCAGAGCAAAAACAGTAAAAAAAGAATATTTCACAAAAGATAAAGATTTTTCTTTTTTCTTTTTTTTTTTTCTTGTCAATTTTTTCTTTTTATTGCATTTTAGGTTTTGGGTATATGTGATGAACATGCAAGATTGTTGCATAGGTACACACATGGCAGTGTGATATGCTGCCTTCCTCCCTATCACCTATATCTGGCATTTCTCCCCACGCTGTCTCTCTCCAACTCCCAACTCCTCACTGTCCCTCCCCTATTTCCCCCCTACAGAGCCCAGTGTGTGATGCTCCTTTCCCTAAGATAAAGATTTTTCTAACATAAGAATTTCTTTTCATTGGGCTTTTATAGCAATTTGAAGGAATAGTATCAAAGAGAAGTATACATTGTATTTCCCATATATTATCCCATGTAACTATTTAAATGCTTTGGTTATGAATCCCCGTGTTGCATGGCCACAACATAAAGAAGAGCCTTAATTTTATTCTTTTGGCTACTTTAAATATCACAGCTTCAGACCATCCGAATTAGGACGGCAAGCCAAGAAACTGGTCAGAAAAAATTGCTGTCTTACAACCTTACAGAATTTAAAGAAGCTGTTAGCCATGAGAATCATCAAGGGACAATCACCCACTTCCTCTATGCCCAGCTCACACATTGTAAACTAGCCGAGGACACTTGGAAAAGTCTGCTTGGTGAGAAAGTTCTTTTTCTTCTTCTGATGTGTGCACGTGCACACACACAGACACACTCATGTTGCTTCAAGTTTACAAGCCTGTAGCAGAATGGGCCTGGAGAAAGGAGATGATCCTTAAAAGGCTATATATAAAAGTTGCCCCCCCCCAAAAAAAAAAAGAAAGAAAGAAACTGCCCACAAGGACTGAACTTCCAGGAGTGCAGATATAGTGAAGGACAGATTAGCTAAAATTCTGTGTTTGCAGAATAGATTAAACATCAAAAAGAAAAGCAGAGACTCCAAAAAAATTCTCCTTACAGTAAGACTTTTTGTTTAGTTCTTATTTTTAATGCTTTCCCACAGAGAATAGAATATGAAACCAAGAAGCCCAATCTTAACTGAGAGAGAGAACATTAAAAGGCATAAGAAAGAGAATTGAAGATTTATTCAATGGACAAAAGACTGAAGAGCTTTGGTGGGTTTTGTGTTTTGTTTTGTTTTGTTTTCTAGAGGACGACTTAAACTACAGCAGCCTGAGGGAAAGAATAAAAAGTCCTGGATAAAGGCTAAGACTGGGAAGAAATCTTGGGCCAGAAAAGAGGAATTGCTCTGCAGTGGCAGCCAGAGGCAGTTTCAAGGATTGCCATCTGCTTCCTAGGACTGGAGCTACTTCAGCAATTGTTTCTAAGCCTGTGTTCAAAAACCAAGGCAATGTCACCAAACAAGATTTGGATTATCCCAGGAAACCAGAACATTTGGGTCTGCCAGCACTGGGTAAATGACTACCATGTAAATAAAGCATTCTCTGTCCAGATCTGCTTGTCTAAGGAAAAAAGGCCACATCTCTTGCTTTCAAGGGGGTTCTTATCCTATAGAGGATCTATATCTATACAAGATAACATATGATTTTTAAAAGGCATAAATATATGTCTACAAATAAGTGCTGTTGTATAAGATGTAAGAGCTGCCTACTTGAGGGGGAGATAAGAGAAAGCAAGGATGAAACAGTTATTCCACTCAGACTATGAGGAGAATCAGGTTTAAGAACAATGGATAGGCCGGGCGCGGTGGCTCATGCCTGTAATCCCAGCACTTTGGGAGGCCGAGGCGGGTGGATCACGAGGTCAACAGATCGAGACCATCCTGGTCAACATGGTGAAACCCCGTCTCTACTAAAAATACAAAAAATTAGCTGTGCATGGTGGTGCATGCCTGTAATCCCAGCTACTCAGGAGGCTGAGGCAGGAGAATTGCCTGAACCCAGGAGGCAGAGGTTGCGGTGAGCCGAGATCGCGCCATTGCACTCCAGCCTGGGTAACAAGAGCGAAACTCCGTTTAAAAAAAAAAAATGGATAAATATTTCCCAGGAGACATAAGTTGTACACATTTATCTTGAAAGTGGTAGGTGTCATGGTTCTATGGAAAAGAATAAGAGGAAGATATAACACACAAAAAACTGTCACGTAGCCAGGCGTGACGGCACACACCTATAGTCTCAGCTATTCAGAGACAAGTGGAAGGATGTCTTGGTTCTCGGGAAAAGAATAAGAGGAAGATATAACACAAAAAAATACTGTCACCTAGCCAGGCATGATGGTACACACCTATAGTCTCAGCTACTCAGAGACTGAGGTGGAGGGATGACTTGAGCCCAGGAGGCAGAGGCTGAAGTGAGCCGAGATAGTACCACTGTACTCCAGTCTAGGTGACAGAGCAAGACCCTGTCTCAAAAATATGTATATATATTGTACCTTCTAGAGTTCCAAGGTAGAAATAAGAAGAATGTGCTTGAAATTTGCCTTGCTAACACATTTCCTAAGATGTATCAAAGAAAAAAAAATGTGCCGTTAAAATGGGAGTCAGAGGTTTAGCAGTTTTCATTTGGTAAATGAATAAAATAATTACTTGAAAATGGGCATGATTGCAGCCTTAGGTGGAATTCAGGCAAATGGGTTAAAACTGTCATGAACCATGAAGAGTCTGAGATTTTACCTTACTTGCAAGCTGAAAAGTTAGCCTGCAAAAGTCATGAGACCCTATATCAGAAATAAAGGGTTTAATTACTCAGGACCCAGCAGGCCACATGAACATCATTTTGCTTTAGTTACACCTCCCATCCAAGTGCCATGGGGGTGATGCAGAAGGGGCCCCGTGTATACTGCACATGCAGTACGTTTGCATCACAGCTGAGAAATGCTGAACTTACAAAACCTGAGTCTTCAATAATGGGCAGTAAGCAAACCTGTCGGACCTTTGCTCCTGAGGAAGACACTGTTTTATTATACTGGACAGTAAGCAAATCTGCATCCTTGAAAAGATAATCCAGAACAAAAAGACGATGTTTCTGTTCACCAGATAGAAAAAAGTGCAAGAGACCTATGGAGAATTTCCTCCAAACAAGTGGAGAACAGAAAGGCCTACAGAATGACTGCATGTGAAAACAATAATTAAGAGATGAAGGACTATAATATGGTAGTAGATGCAATAAATAAGGGGAAAATAATATAGCTTAAGTAGGTGAGAAAAAGTCAAACAAAACTATTCTGAATTTGTTATCTGTTGTTGCATAATAAAATTACCCCCAAAGCTTAGTGGTTAAAAAAAAAAAAAAACGAACTAATTTCTCACATAGTGTCATGTGTCAAGAATCAGAGCAGCTTACCTGGCTAGTTCAGGTTCTCTCATGAGGTGGCAGTCTAGATGTTGGCTGGAACTACAGTTACCTGAAGGCTTGACTGGGACTAGCAGATCCACTTGTAAGTCAATCATTCATTCACAGGCCTGGCAAGGTGGTGCTGGCTGTTGTCGGGAAGCCTCAATTGTTGACCACGTAGACCTTGGTATAGGGGTGTGTGAGAGTCCTCACAACATGCAAGCTGGCTTCCCACAGAGCAAACGATCCAACAAGAGACATCAAAGAAGAAGTCACAATGCCTTTTATGATCTAGTCTCAGAAGACTTCCTCTCACTCCTGCCATATTTTATTTATTAGAAGCAAGTCACTAAGTCAAACCCACATTCAAAAGAAGGGAAATTAGGCTTCACATATTGAAGGATGGAATATCAAAGACTTTGTGGATATATTTTAAAACCACTACACAGTCCAAGTTTAAGCATCTGGCATGATGATGGGGACTATTACTGATGAGCAATAAGTGATATCACTAATAGTGAGACTGTAGTTGAAACAAGAGACAGGTCCTAGAGTAGAGTGAGAGGAGATAATACACCCACGTTGCAAACTTTCTGTACAAGCATACCTCAAACCTGTGGGTTTGGTTCCAGACCACTGAAAAAAAGACAGTATTGCAAAAAAGCAAGCAAGTCACACAAATATTTTGGTTTTCTGGTGTATGTAAATGTTATGTTTATCCTATGCTGCAGTCTATTCAGTGTTTAATAGCATTGTGTCTAAAAAACAATGTACATATATTAATTTTAAAATGCTGTATTGCTAAAAATGCTAATGATCATCTGAACTGTCAGCAAGTCATAATCTTGCTGAGGATCTTGACAATGTTGATGGCTGCTGGCTGATTAGGGTGGTGGTCGCTGAAGGTTAGGGTACTGTTGAAAAACATATATATATATATATATATATATATGTATATGTTTTGAGACAGAGTCTCACTCTGACACCCAGGTTTGAGTATAGTGTTATAATCTGGACCTACTGTAGCCTCCGCCTCCCAGGCTTCAGTTATCCTCCTACTTCAGCCTCCCGAGTAGCTGGGTCTACAGGCACACAGCATCATACCTGGCGAATTTCTGTATTTTTTTTTTCATAGAGATGGGATTTCACCTTGTTGTCCAGGCTGGTCTTGAACTCCTGAGCTCAAGCAATCCAGTCATCTCGACCTCCCAAAGTGCTGGGACTACAGGCATGAGCCACTGTGCCCAGCTGGCTGTAGGAATATTTTAAAATAAGACAATAGTGAAGTTTGCCGCATCAACTGACTTTTCCTTTCGTGAAAAATTTCCCTGTAGCATGTGATGCTGGTTGATAGCACTTTATTTATAGCAAAGCTTCTTTCAAAACTGGAATCCAGCTGGGCACAGTGGCTCATGCCTGTAATCACAGCAGCACTTTGGGAGACCAAGGCAGGTGGATTGCTTTAGCCCAGGAGCTCAAGATCAGCCTGGGCAAGATGGCAAAACTTGTCTCTACAAACAACAACAACAAATATGTATACATATATTTGACATTTCAGTCTTTTATTTAAGAAATGTTTTTCATAAGCCTTTAGTTGTCATAAGTCAGGACTGAAATATATTTTTCTGTATATATTATAGAAAATATATATTTTATATATAATATTTATATATTTTCTATATTTTTATAGAAATATATAATTTTTGTATACTATATATATGCTCTTTCTATATAATATATATTAGAGAGAGAGAGAGAGGATGGTGAATTCTTCCCAGAAGATTTTCAATTTACTTTGCCCAGATCCATCAGAGGAATCCTGACTTATGACAGCTAAAGCTCTATCAAATATATTTTTGAAATAAAAGACTTAAAAGCCAAAATTACTGCTTGATCCATAGGCCACAGAATGAGTATTATGAAAATGAAAACAACATTCATCTCCTTAGACATCTCCATCAGAACCCTTGGGTGACTAGGTACATTGTCCATGAGCAGGAATATTTTGAAAGGAATCTTTTTTTGAGAAGTAAGTCTCAACAGTGGGCTTAAAATATTCAGTAAACCATGACGTAAACAGATGTGCTGTCATCCAGGCTTTGTTTTTCCATTTATATAACACGGGCAAAGCTGATTTAGAATAATTCTTAAGGGCCCTGGGGGTTTTGAAATGGTAAATGAGCATTGGCTTCAACTTAGAGTCACCAGCTACCTTAGCCCCTAACAAGAAAGTCAGCCTGTCTTTTGAAGTTTTGAAGCCAGCCAGGCATTGACTTCTCCTCTCTAGTTATAAAAGTCCTAGATGACATCTTCTAATATAACATTGTTTTGTCTACATTGAAAATCTGTTTAGTGCATCCACCTTCATCGTCATCTTCCGGATAACTTGCTGCAGCTTCTACATCAGCACTTGGTGCTTCACCTCGCAGTTTTATGTTACGAAGGCAACTTTTTCCTTAAACCTCATGAACCAACCTCTGCTAGCTTCTACCTTCTGCAGCTTTCTTATCCCTCTCTGCCTTCATAGAACTTTCATAGAGAATTAGTTTCTTGCTTCAGATTAGGCTTTGGTTTAGGGGAATGTTGTGGCCGTTCTGATCTTTTATTTAGACCAGTAAAATCTATTCAGATCCCTAAAACTTTCCCCATATTAGCTATAAGGCTGTTTTACTTTCTTATCATTCTGTGTTCACTGAACTAGCACTTTTAATTTTCTTCAAGAACTCTTCTTTGCATTCACAACTTGGCTAACTGGTGCCAGAGGCCTAGCTTTCAGCCTATCTCAGCCTTCAATATGACTTCCGCACTGAGATTAATCATTGCTAGCTTTTGATTTTAAGTGAGAGATTTACAATGCTTCCTTTCACTTGAACACTTACACACTTAGAAGTCTTTGTAGGATGGTTAATTGGCCTAATTTCAATATTATTGTGTCTCAGGAAATAGGAAACCCCCCCCAAAAAAAATAGAGATGGGGAAACAGTCAGTATAGCAGTCAGAACACACACATTTATTGGTTAAGTTCACCACCGTATACAGGTGCCATTTATGGCAACATAAAACAATTACAATAGTAACATCAAAGATCACTAACCACAAATCACAATAAAAGATATAATAATGAAAAAGTGTGAAATATTATGGGAATTACTAAAATGAGACACAGAGACACAAAGTGAGCACATGCTGTTGGAAAAATGGGGCCGACAGACTTTCTGGTACAAGACTTCCCGGTGCAGAATTGCCACAAACCTTCAATTTATTGGAAAAAAAAAAAAAGTAGTATCTATGAAGGACAATAAAATAAAGTTTACCTGTATTTGGTTTCCTGTTAAAATTTATATTTTTGCTCTTTCTTGCTCTTTATCAAATCATCATTATCTAGTTCTTTGTACATAGGTAATTGCAGAAATGTTATGGCTTTATTTTGATTAGACTATAATGAAAGATGATGTTCCCATAGCAATTTTTTTAAAAGCAAGCACTCCTGTCCAGACAGAGGGAAAAATTGATCCAGATGCTGAGGAGAAAATTGTGTTGCTCTCTAACAGGTATCTATTATACTGAGGTTACAATCAGTTCCTGAGTTTGTGGTCAAGGTGAAAAGCCAAAACCCTCTAATCTATGACAAGATTCAATTTTCTCTATGAATTTATTACTTCCAGCTTTCTGGTTTATTGTTTAATAGTACCATGATGAGTATATCTGTATTCATGCAGATTGCTTATGCAGAATATAAAATGACTGAGCTCAAAGTCAAGAATACAGGATGGGATTCTATTACAGTATCTCAGTCAAGAAATAATAAAGGCCTAAATTGAGGCAATAGTATGGAGAAGAGAAAAGAAGAGAAAGTTTCTAGAGAGATTTCTGAGGTATGATACCCAGAATTTGGTGACTAATTAGAGGTGGGAGATGAGAAAGAGGAAAGTGTGGAAAGAAACTCAGAGGTGCTGGTTTGGGAGGTAGATAGATAGATAGACAGATGGATCAGCTGGTCCCAGATTGCCCAGGATTTTCTCAGGTTCAGCACTGAAAGTCTTGTGTCATGGGAAACCCCTCAATCCCAAGCAAGTTGTACATTTGGAAACCCTATGATAGAAATAACATTAATTTATATAGGGAATACAGGAGAAGAAACGTTTTTGCTATGGAAAATAAATTCTGTTATGGGCATGTTGAATATAAGATAACTACAGAAGATGTAAGGAGTCACAAGTTGGAAATGCATTTTCAGAGCCCAGTGGAGGGTCTAGGGCTGGATGTGGAGAACTGTCCATCATTATGTGAGAAATGATGCCATGCAAGAAGATGGGACTCTCCTAAGAACGATTTGTAGAGTGGAAAGAAAACGGGGCTAAGAATAGAACTTAGACAAAAAAAAAAAAAGCAGGGGTGAGTACTTTCTTGTGGAAAAAGAAAACCCATCAAGAAAGACAGAGAAGAGGTTCTGAAAAGTGTGAGAAATAAGAAAGAAACAGTGATTATCCCAGAAGCCAAACAGAGGGGGAATTTTCAGAAGCGGAGTGGGGAGGGCAAAAGTGTCAAAAGCCACTGGACCTGGAATTAGGCTTATTTCCTGTGATGATGGAAAGAGGTGGTATTCGGACTGATACAAGAGTAGAGAGAGCATGGAGCCCAGCCCCAGCTAACTTAAAGAGAATCCCATCCAGCAGATACTTGCTCACCTGACCCTCTGAGAGTTGAGGGAAAAAGACAATGAATCATCACTTGCAACTTACTCTCCAGTCTCAGGCACTGAGAAATTAATCAACCTTTCCTGATATTATTTACATATTTATTTATTTACTTATTTAATTTTTGAGATGGAGTTTCACTCTTGTCTCCCAGGCTGGAGTGCAATGACGTGATCTCGGCTTACTGCAATCTCCGCCTCCTGAGTTCAAGTGATTCTCCTGTCTCAGCCTCCCAAGTAGCTGGGATTACAGGTGCCCGCCACCATGCCTGGATAATTTTTGTATTTTTAGTAGCAGCGAGGTTTCACCATGTTGGCCAAGCTGATAACTTTAATTTTTTTTTTAACTAGCCTATGTTGAACACCTCATCTGTGCCTACGCACCTTGCATGCTTTATCTCAGTTAATCCTCATAGCAACACAATGAGGAACTTTTATAAATATTCTTCACTTAGTTTCCCTTTCATTTTCCTACATTTAAAAGAAAATCCGTAATGACAGAAGTTGAACAGTTTTCCTCAACATG